ATAATTTACACATCAACGAGCTTTAAGTGTGCAGATACTCATCTATTCTGAGCTAACCTGGCTACTTCTCAGCCACATGCCTTTTCTCTTCCATTTGGTCTCAGCCTGGCTGATCCAGCTCCATCCCTGTCCTTATGGGGAGCTCCTCATGACAACCTCCCTCTCCTTCCACTTTCTCCTCTCCACTTGTCCCTACCTGAGACCCCCCTCAGTGGGAACAGAAGTCCTGCCTGCTGCCCTTTCTGCTCAGCTATAGGCTAATCAGCTAATCAGCGTTTTTTATTAACCAATCAGATCTAACTGGGGAGCATCCTTACACAACATTGATACAGGAGAGTTTTCACAGAATTGACGATGTCCACCTCCTGACTGCAAAAAACAACATCTGAATACACAATATACAAAGACCATCCCCCAACAATAAATATCTTGTGTAAAGCTGTGCACTCACTTATCACTTATTTTCAGCATCTTAAGCAGCCATGTATCTCTACATTCACCACTGCTTCTTTGACTGAGAAGTAGCATTTGTCTATGGATGTTAAGTAAATATAAATACCTTTGAGGAAGTTTGGTGTCACATCAATTTGGCTAAGCAATGGTAGTAAGAGTCCCACTAGGATCTGTCATCTCCATAGCCATGTGTTTTGTTTTGTTTCTCTGTCTATAATACCAAGCTTAACACTCCTATGGAGTGGATCTCAGATCCAAGCAGAGACTGGTTGGTTATCCCCATAATATTTTTGCCACCGTTGCAGTAGTGGGCACATCTTGCCTGCTAGGATGATATTATGGTTTGTAGTGTTCACAGCTGGATGAGAGTGCTGCTACCTTTCCTAACAGCCTGCATAGCGCACTAGGAAAGGTAAGTCAGCAAAAAAGGAAGATTCCAGCCCTTCTACAGCCTGATTTCTCTTTATCTTATATCCAAGGTATGTGGTGTTCTATTCTGGTGGTAAACAAAGAGGAATGGCAGCACCTATTTTGTTTTAGGAGCTTTTGGACCCTCCCTGAGGAACAGAACATAAGGCAATATCCCCCTGGCACTAGAACTTTTGTTTAATAACCTATAGGCTCCATGTGCAGAATTATGTAGTGGTGCATCTCCCTACCCTCTCTTCTAACTTCACTTTTGCTATATTTTTAATTGGTTTGCCTCATCTCCCACTCACTTTAGACCATTCATACTTGTTTTCTTGCCTTCAATAGAACTTCCATGTGCATTTCCTCCTTTGAACCAACTCTTCATTGCAGAGTACCCTCTCGTTCCAAATAATGCCTTCACTTTAAATGTTCGTGCAAATGTCATCTCTTCAATGAGTCCTTGATCACTCTATGTAAAATTATAGTCTATCTCTTGTACAGTATTCTAAACTTTTCTTTAGGCTTATCTATTTTAATTTTGTCATATAACCTTTAAACATCAGTCATGTGTCACTTAATGACAAGTTCTAAACAGGAGTTCTGATCTGAGGATGTAGCTTAGTGTTAGCTTGCCTGGCAATTACAAGGATCTGTGTTTAAAGTTCCAGCATAGTTAAAAATTCTAAGCATTGATCTGGGGAATTCATGCACAAAAAAAGAGATTGGTTAATTTCTCTTGCAAATAGAAACTGTTTGATGTATTTTAAATTTTTCAGTAATCCATAGCTTTTATTTGCTGTAGAAATGGCCATTGTGAGATGCAGAGCTGTACAAACCCTGCAAGTGTGAGAGTGGCACAAATGATATGGGAGTAGGCAACCAGTTTTTGATTGGATTTAAGGCCCATCCCTTGAGATGGAGCTCATACCAGACACAGCTGTGGTAGCCAAAAAAATCTGAGACTAGATAGATCACAAGCCTAGGGGAAAACCTATTATTCTGTTAAAGGAGCATAGCTATAAAATGGCTCCTGATGACACATTGCTATACTCATAGCTCAGTGCCTCACTCAGCCCACACAGAGAGGAATTAATGCAGAGATCCACAACTGGAGAACATGCAGAGAGTGAGAGACTTTGAAGCACTCCATCCTAAATGGAATGTTTTCAGCAAACCCTTTCCTTCAGGGATGTTCAGGGAGTTACGCAGAAGAGGAGGCAGAAAGACTGTAAAGGACCAGAGGAGATAGATGAGTCCAAGCAGATAGTGTCCTCAGACACAACGGGACTAATGCTCAAAGGAGCTCACAGAGACTGTGGCAGCACACATAAGACCTGCACAGGTTCAAGCCAGATGGGTTTTACAGCACTGAGCAGGGGGAGTAGACATGGGATCTCATCCCTAACCAATAAGCTATCTGTAATTGTTATCTGCTGGCAAAAGGAAAATCAGTTTCTCCGATGGATATAGCAACCACTTTTCAGGTCAGACTCCATGCTCATGAGTAGTTAGTTGGCCAACACAAAACAAATTTAGTGGTGTTTTTATGGGCTTTTTGTTTCATTTTGCTTTGTTTATTTTTCATTTTTTTGTCATTTTTTTTTTGGCTTATTGGTTTTTTTGCTTTGTTGTTTTAGTTTCATTTGTATGTGTATGTGTGTAACTATGTATATATGTATGTTTCTTGGTTTTTTCCTTTGCTTATTTTTACTTTTGTATATAAATATACACTTAAGAAGTATTCGTAGGACCTTTAATGCATTTCTTCTGTCCCCTTGAGATCTCTCCTCCTCCTCTTTCTTAAAGCTCTAAATATCAGAATAACTTCAAAATGTTCCCTGATAAAACATAAAAGGTTCCCTTTTATTTGTTGTTGCCTTTTCTGTTGCTGGAGTCCTAAGTGTTGGCATGTTGAACCGTAGATAATTAGGCCTCACAAGAACTATGCAGTTGGTAAGTTTACCACAACACTGGAGACCACTATGAGACAAGGCTGCAGGGAAACAATCATTGTGGACTTTTCTCACTGAGAGATTAGTAGAAGGTCAGAAAACAAATTAGTTCAGGTCCTCCTAACACTTCCCTTGGGAGAGGAACGCTTCCTGGCAAGAAACATCATCCCAGACAGATTGGCAGATCCCCAGGGCAACGCCTTAGCTCAGTCCTTGACTTACAGACAGACCATGCAGTTTTCAATAAGGAGAGAGAGAGAAGCTATACAACATCTATTCCTGGGTAAATGGTATGTTTTAGAAAGTAATAAAGGCAGAACCTAAGTTATATAAATAGAAAACAAGTTTAAAGGCACAATCGTAAAATGTTCTTTTTCAAATAAGTGGCATGAAATTTCAGTTGAAACACTACACAAAGACAGAATGGGTCAATTGAAACTACTAGAGATGAATATCCTCTGTGAAGGCCTTGGCTATGTGCTACCATATCAGAGCCCAGAGCAGCACCCAATATATAGGAAACACTCAATAAATATTTAATGAATAGGCATGCTATCTTGACTGATAAGAACTCATTTTTTCTTCTATCAAAATGATTCAACTATTTTTAATTTTATTTTCTAATTATAGAACAAAGAAAAACATTTTAAATGCAGCTGTAAGTAATCTATGTAGAGGCATAGTTTAATCTTGTCTGGGGTAGAGAATGGTATGCAAATTGTTCTTTCTCTAGTGACTTGAGCCCTATTCCCTTACTCTGTCCCCTGTAGGTCTGTAACACTAGGAAAGCTTGAGCGTGCAACATCTGGTTCATGCCAGGAAAATCTAGTTCATTGGAAAACGAACATAGTTAGAAAGTTTAATACTTTGTGGTGGACTATTAACGGCGAACTGTTTATCTAACTTTATGGAACTTCTCCTGGTGATATGAAAATAAAATACTTTTAAAAAAATCATTTGAATGACGGACAAATTTTCAAGTAGCATAATGGAGGGACCATCAGATACTGGGGGCAAGGCACTTCCTCAAGTAGGGAGTCAATCAGTTTGGCTCCATAAATATTTATTTGTAGGCTCCTATGACACAACCCAGCACTAAGATTCAAAATAGAAAGGGGTTGTAGATTGTGAAGCATTTCGATCTTTTTCTCAAACTAGCCGGGAGGAAGTCTGTTCTAGTTTGCTTCTGTGTTGTTTTGATAAACACCATGACTAGAAGCAACTTGGAAAAGAAAGGGCCTGTTCCGGCCACAAGTACCAGCTTGTCACCAACGGAAGCCAAGACAGGAGCTCACCTCTGGAACATGAAGAAAGAAACAAGCAGACTACAGCACAACGCTGCTGGCCAGCTTGCTCTCCAGGTTGCTCCTGATACCACCCAAAACCTGCGTAGGAGTGGCGCTGCCCGCAGAACGCTGGACCTTCCCACATCAGTCATAAATCAATCACAGCAAAATCTTAGGAAGACAGTTCTTCAGTTGAGATTCCCTTTCCCCAAGTGACTCAAACTAATCAGCATAAAGTTTCTTCTACTTTGAAGATTTGAATTCATCCATTCATTATTCAAGCCCTAGTTAACCTCTACCTCTACAACTATCCCTATCCCCACTGGAGTTTTGCACTAAGAAATGAAAAGAAGAAGAGGAGGAGGAGGAGGAGAAGGAGGAGGAGGAGGAGGAGGAAGAGGAGGAGGAGGAGGAGGAGGAGGAGGAGGAGGAGGAGGAGGAGGAGGGGAAAACAGTTGTAGGAACTCTGGAGGAGGGGGGGGGTTGCACAGAAAGGCGAGAAGTATAGCAGGGCTGATTTTACAGAGGGTCCCCACTGGGAATCTTCAGTTTGTTTAGAGTTCCTGCCCTTGCTTGGTAAAGACTTTACGTTTCCCGCATTTGAAAGTCTGTAAAAAGTTTAGATTTATTCTCTAGTGGGGCAAAGCTGAAATCCTGATGCAACCCCTTTTTATTCAATACCAAGAAATATTTTTAAATGAGTCCCATGAGCAGTCTCAAGGATTGGTGGGTCTGCTATCCGAAAATTTCACTGGGAGCCAGGCAGCCCCCAGGAGAATCCGTTCAGTGTCCCGGCTTGGGCAGGGACAGGGAGCAGATGGTGCGGTGCGCAGCTTCAACTCAGCATACAGGGCGGGGCGGAGGACTGCGAGTCTGTGGGCTCCAGAGAGTGTGCAAGATGCTCCTGATCAGCGGCAGGGTCCTGCGCCTTGGCTTGGGGTTTGTCATTCGCCGGGGCCCTCAAAATGTCTCGCGCTGGCCAAGAAGGGGTCCCCTGGCCGCGGGTCATCCCTGTAGCTCCAGCGGCCGGAATCCCAGCGGCTCTGAGCCCCCACATCAGGGTAGGGCAGGGCTGGGAGGGAGCAGGCTGGGAGAAGCGGTAGCAGGGCCTCAGAGGGTCCAGGCTTTTGGTTGAAACGTGTTTTCTGGTCTGTCTGTCGCTTTACCTGCAGAGAAAGTTCACAGGATCCCAGACCGGCACAAACCTTCACAATTCGACAAGAAAATCCTGCTGTGGACCCGGCGTTTCAAATCTATAGAGGAGATCCCACCCCTAGTACCGTAAGTGTGAAGGGAGTCTTTGCCTGGGTTTAGCCCAGGTGGAGACTCGCAACCTGAGACGGAAAACAGTGTCTGAACAGTGTGCTTGCTGGCCAGGGGCAACGCAGCCGTAGGGCTGTACAGTTCTTCGAATTAACACTGACACAGGGGGTTTACAACACTCCCCTACTGTGGGTCAAGGTCAAAGAGGTCAAAGTGTTTGACTAAACAGTGGGTAGCCAGAATTGCAGACAGTGTACCGGAAGGTGAATTGAAAACCCAGGAATTGATTGAGAACTTTCCAGCCTGGCGGTTAGGGTCCCTGGAGAGCTCCGAGCGGGCTGAGCAGTGGGGTGCTACGATAGTTAATATGAACCTTACAGGACGCGGAATTGCCAAAGAGACATTTCTGAGCATGCCTGGGAGGTATTAGTACATGAGGTAAGAAGAACCACAGTAAACTGGTGGTGGCATAGTTTCCTGGACTTAATAAAAAGACTAAGTGCATGTATTCATCACCCTTTTATTTCCGTGCGCACATATGACCATCTCAGCTACTAACACTACGCCTTTCCATCTCGACAGATTGAATCCTCAATGTATCCATGCTATATCTCAATGATAGACAACTGTTGAGCCAACGCAAACATTTCCTTAAGTTGCCCTTGGAAAGGTTCTTTGTTAGAGCAATGACAAAGTAATTCAAATACTTAAACTAAATTCTGAGTGGTGTTGGCTGGGGCGACAGAGACAGAGAGGGGCCATGGTCAGAGGTTGTGCCTCCTTACTGTGCCATACAAGGAAAGAGTCCCGGATATGACTTTTGGGCTATTAGAGAATGGTGTCTGGGTATACCAGGTTTCCTGGCCCTGGGAAGCTAGGCAGCTTCAGCATGGCTGGTCTCATCATAAAAGACTTCAAGGAAATGGAAGAGGGTAAACATGTCCTGGAAAAATGCACACCCAGTAATTCACTGTGAAGCACTTCCATGCCCTTTGAGCAATGGTTAACAAATAAAAAGTGAAAATTTGAAACCTTTCCATGTTTATTCAACTTAGAGATATTTTCTAATTATGATAAGCAAATTTTACTCTCCTTGACATTTATGGACTCAAAACTGATAAAAACATAAATCAGTCTTAGAAAAATTTATAGCATAAGTTCTGCTTGTTAAAATTTAATATTTTAGGCTGGGCAGTGGGGACTAATGTCTTTAATCCCAGCACTCAGGAAGCACATTCAGGTAGATCTTTGTGGTCTACAGAGTGAGCTCCAGGACAGCCAAGGCTACAAAGAGAAACCCTGTCTTGAACAATAATAATAATAATAATAATAATAATAATAGTCAATAATAATTAATAACAATATAGCCAAATAAAATGTAGAAAGGATATAAACAAAACAAGAAATATAATTCCACCCTCAGTTGGCTTGGATTTTTATATCTAGCATTAAAAGTAACTAAGAATTAAGGACTCTGCAATGTTACTAATTAATTTCCGAGAGAACCTATCTATTCCTGTATTGCATCAACACAAACGAATCTGGGAAAAATCCATTTCACAGGTATAATTTTGTTTTCTCAGGATCACAATCAACAGAAATAATATACATAGAAGTATTTAACAATGAATAAGACACTTATAAAAAGCATTGTAATTTTGAGCTCAGAGTATTTGTATCTTTTTACTTTACTATTTTCTATAATTTTTTTAATTAATTACACTTTATTCATGTTGTATCCCCCCATAAGCCCCTCCCTCCTCCCCTCCCGATCCCACCCTCCCTCCCCTTTCTGCATGCATGCCACTCCCCAAGTCCACTGATAGGGGACATTCTCCTCTTCTTTCTGATCTTAGTCTATCAGTTCTCATCAAAAGTGGCTGCATTGTCCTCTACTGTGGCCTGGTAAGGCTGCTCCCCCCTCAGGGGGAAGTGATCAACGAGCAGGCCAATCAGATTATGTCAGAGGCAGTCCCTCTTCCCATTACTATGTAACCCACTTGGACACTGAACTGCCATGGGCTACACCTGTGCAGGGTTTTTTAAAGGTTTGTTATTTAGGAGGAACATTCCACTTAAGATGTTAAGCTTGCGATGTAAGGAGCTCTCTTCCATAGATTTTAATAGACAAATAATTGACAGGAGACCCACGTTTTTGCACTACACACTAATTCTATTGATGTTAACTGTGCTTTTTCTTTTGTTTTTAATTGCTAAACTAATTTTGTATACAGTATCACAGCCAGATGAGGTTAAAATGATCAGCTCTTTTAGGTTTCACATGGAAAAAAGCTAGCAGCTAATATAATCTAATAACATCTTCCTGGACACTAATTGAACCTGTTTGTAACTGACATTTTAATATTGTCTTCCTAAAATATAATGAAAACAATAGTAATTTTTGTGATTTTTTCAAATAGTGAAAGAGTTAAAATTCTCCTTTTCAAGAGAAATTTAACATATTTTTATGAAATTTTAAAAATGTAACTGCATTTTAACTACTTTATAAAACTTTACATTAGATAAGAATGCCAGTTGATATTTTCAAGAGTCAAGAACCTTATGCATGTTGATAAATGAACACAACTATCATTGCAACTTGATAAAGTTTTGTTTCAACATGAAAGCACCAAAAGCTTGATTCCCATTGTAACAGTTTTATAAGGAGCATTGCATGCAACTAGTCTCTTTGGAAAATAAGATAGGAAGCAGCAAGAAGAAAGTGAAAAACTCTTGATAGAAAGTGTGGAAAATGGGTTTAAATAAAATGGGTTTAATCCTGTTCCAAATGGCTTCAATTCTTTTATCCATGCTAATAAATAAGAAAACTAGCAATGCAAAACATTGCTAGTAGTTCTATATTGATCAATTAGAAAGCAAATATATTACACTGGTTTCATAGTAGCCACCTTTAGTTTTAAAGACTGAAATCTGAACAAATATGTGCTAATTTGAAATTGCTAAGAAAAATGGGCTAGCATTTGATAATCTTCTGTGGTTTGCATTTGGGGAAATATTTGGGCTAGTCAAGCAATAAATCATTATTTATCATGTTCATCAGAAAGTCATATTGGTTTAATATTAACAAGTATTAAAGATAATTAACAAAATGCACATCTTGGTTTAGGCCTGAAATGATAGCTGCTGCTCGTAACAAAGCTCGAGTGAAAGTGTGCTACATAATGATCGGCTCACAGTCATTGCCTGCTTTGCTGTGATTGTGTCTGCCAAAAGGGTGAGTGACTGCTTAAAATAAACACCCAGAGGTGATGGGCTGGGGATGAGCCAAGGTAGCAGACCACTGACCTAGCTTCTGCTCAGGCATCTAACAGGAGTGGGGAGGGAAACCAAACTTGTTTTCAGAAATGCTATAGACCTTGTTCTGGATTCAGAGACTGTGGATCCTGGTCCCACCCACATACATATATCGTGGTAGACACAAATCTAGTCATGAAAATTTGGATCCAAGAATTATGTGGCCAAGAGAGGGCAAAGTGCCCCTCCACCCCGCTTGTAAAATAACAAATAATAGCTTAAAACTTTCCTAAGAACTCTGTTGTGTGAAAGTAAACCAGACTAGCTCATTCTCTAAATTAAAGCAGCTTAAGGAGTAGTTCCACAGATTTAGGAGGTAGCAGTGTACAGATTAAAAATGGCTGTGTGGGTTGAGTATGAGCTGCTCTTTGCCATCTTCCATGCACACCTTCTGCTTAATACTTACACAGAGAAGTGAGGAGCTGCCCAGTCTGTATTCTGTACTCTGCCTCTAAACCCTCCAGTCTCTAGTCCCTCTGGAACACACACACACACACACACACACACACACACACACACACACACACA